ATAATTTTCTGTGCTTCTACACTTCTCATTCTTGGCAGCTGCACACATCTGTCAAAGCTACAGGACAGACTCTGCCTTTGACTCTGCTGCTATTTGGCTAAAGCCAAATTTGAGTAGCCTGACCTCCTCCTCCTTGCATGGGACAGAGGCAGTTGCTATCACCACTCAGCTTGCATCTGTAGGCTGAAGCTTCTCTGGTTCCTAGCTAAATTAACAAAATGGTAATTGTTTTGTTGTTTTGTTTTGTTTTTTTTTTCCTAAGTACCTGCAGTTTTACATTCTGAAGCATATACTTACAGCAGCCTTATAACAGCATCAGAGGAACACTTTGTTTGCTAGAGACGGGAAATACTTGGCAACACAGGGTGGTAATAAAGTGTATAGCCCCATGAATGTTTTCCTTCGTAGTTCAGGAAGGTCCTGTTAATTTCTAATCCCGAGCTGGCAGAGCCAGGCTCATGATGTTCAGTTTGTTATCTGTAAATCCAATGGATAAAGTTGTCTGAAGTCGCTGAAGTGAGTGTTCTCTTTCTGGAGACACTGATGTACTGTCTCTGCTCCTGTTCCTTGGTTTAGCCTTGGAAAGTGTAAACAATTCCAATCTGAACCAGACCAGATCCTATTCCGAAATAAACATTTATGTTGTTTTCTTTAGGATCTGACATGATCTACTGATCTTTTGGATGCTGACGTTAAGTAACTGAAATTAGCCTGCTGTCACCAAACGTGTTGCATTCTCCAGTGGTTTCCCAGCTTGTGCCATTCTTGAGAGGTCACACAAATGCATTTAAGAACACTGCACTAGCAATCCCCTGTTCCCTTTTTAACTCTCATCTTCTGTAATTCCAATTTAAACAAGCTATCAGAACGAAAACGCTGTCTGCAGTTTGGGATACAAAAGCACTTTTTAAAAAACTAAATGCTGCTACTTTTGTAGAGCTTACTTGCTCCACTGCCCTGCTGAAAACATGAAGAACAAACTGGTGCCACAAAATTGGCTAACGGTGTGCTGGGGGTTCCTCACTGATCTTTTGGTAGCTAAGCCTTCCCATGTGTACCTTGAAAATTTAGTGTGCTGTACGTAAAACGTAACATGCCTGGTAATTATTGCAGGATAAGAGTTACCTCTGGCTTTTCCTCTGTGAAACACACACATCGTGGGTCCCCGTACCTGCTGTTGAAAGCAATGCTCTGTGGGAGGGAAGCAAGAGCATCTGAACATTTTACTGCAGTTTTTTCTTACGGTTGGACTCGATGATCTTAAAGGTCTTTTCCAACCTAAACGATTCTTTGATTTTAAGCCATGTTATAAAGTATATGTGAACTACATGCAGTTTCACATAACTTCACTGTTTGGCAATACGTGTGGAATTCTCCATTTACGTGCTGATCTGATAACCAGAGAACTTAATAGCTGGGCTTTATGAAGACCTTAGTGAATGTTCAAATGATCTGTGAAATTAGTTTTATGAAACAAGTACTCTTTGTTTTCCACAGGCGATAACGAGGGTTAACGGGACACGGAGGTTGACCTGTCCATGTGATAAAAGCTATCCTTTCATTGTGAGTTGAGGTGTCAGTCTCTGGGACATGAGCCATGGTTTTTCTGGAGGCTGGGAGAGTATTTTGGGGAGATAGCATTATGCATTTGTGCTATCGTTGATCGCTTCCCTGGGAGCGTGTTGTTGATGGCTGGCAGGTATTTGAGTAGGAGGACCTTTCGTCTCACCCAGTGCGGCTGCTCAGCTGGGAAGGGAATGTAAGAACGGAGCATCTCTCAGTGATGGGTCACTCACAAGGGCTGTGCTTTGGTAACCGAGTTAGTATTTCTTTCGGTGGATGGATTCAAATACTTTCCGACATTGGTTGTAGTAGTGGAATTTAAATGAACCTGAAACCTTTTGAGAAATCCCTTCGCCAGGATCTGTCATCTACTTCAGTGAAAAATCTGGCAGCTTTAGATTTGCATTTATTTGCCACTACCCTGCATGCCTATGCTTAGCAAATTTATAATCGCCGTAATTATAATTTGCATACAAGAAAGCAGACAGTTTTTATTCCTGTAGTTGGGATTGGAACAACTGAGCAAAGTTGTACAATCATGTCAGCATTGTGTAATTTGGTCCTTCTGCATATATTATTTTGTCTGTATGGAAAAACAAGGTGTATTGTACAAGTAGCACATTTATTTATGGACTGAAAGATACGTAGATCGAAAATTATGCTTTCCAGCAGGCTGATCG